GTAATAAAAAAGCCTAACCATTAAATACTATTTAGTTCCATATAACTTAGTTTCTTATAGTCTCTTGTGATGCAGTGGTGAATAATTGTTATCAGGACTGATTGTGAGGGTTGGAAATCTAAAGATAGACATTTTGTAACAAAGAGGGGAGTGGTTAATCTATCAGTCTAGGAGCGGAGGACCCTGGGACCATCAATGGAGAAGAGCGAAGAGCGGAATCCTACCCAGAGAGGCAGTGAGGCCTGGGATGGAGGCAGAGAAGACAATGTCAAGAGATGGTGGGGCTGGGGGCTTGGGATCAGGAGATGGAAAGGGGGTGAGGACTGTGGTGGGAGGGGGGTGCAGGTTTACAGGGTACACCCCTTGGATGGGTGAGGATGCATGGACAGGATGATAACTATGCCAACTAAATGATGGATGATGGAATGAATGTAAAGCTGATGTTCTCCCGTGTAGATTATCACACAATTCACAATAACATTAAAAAAAAGAGAGAGAGAGATAGGAGTAAGATTCTTATGATTCATTGTTATCTAATGAGTCATTGTTATCATGACAAATTGGGACTCTCACAGTTGTAAAGGTGGAACTTTTGTAACAAAAACAGGGGAGTAGTGAATCTTGCAATCCAGACCATCAAGGGAGAAGAACACAAGCAGAATGTGAGACCTTATCCAGAGAAGCAGCGACACCAGAGATGGAGGCAGAGATGGGGACATGGAGAGAGGGGAGCAGCTGAGGACTCTAGATTCATGGGAAGGGAGGGACTAAGAAACAGTGATCGTGAGGCCTACTTGCAGAATGTACCCTTTGGTGGTGTAAATTATTGTATATGTTTGAGTGTAAAAAAAAAAAAAAAAAACTAAAGTGAATAGAGAGAAACATTGTTAAGTGATGGTACATGAAGGGGGATTATAATCATTGTAATGAAACAAGGTGTATATGATTTGTTGAATGTAAAACTCATGATCTGCCTTGTAAACTTTTACTCAATCCACAATAAAAACCCTAAAAAAAAAAAAGTGACTAAAGTAAGAAAGGAATGGTTTTTTAAAAAAATCTAATTTCTACTTTGATTCTTAAATTTAAAAGGTGATATAGTTGTGTTTTTTCAAACAGTTAAAAAAATTAAATGATAAGAGCAAGGCAGATCCAAGCCACCAGCTGCTCCTTGGAAACTCTGTGTGTCGTCACTGTGAGTAAGAACTGACTTGACAGGACCTAAGAAGAAGAAAAACATCAACATACTATTTATAGAAAATTAAAATACAAACAAGTAGAAAGAATATTCAATCACACATACTCTCTCTTACACACCTGGAAGCACAAGTAGTCAATGCTCTAAAAACCATTTTTATGGAAGTAATAAAATAGCAGCAGTATTAGATATGCAATGATCATTTCATTATCAGATGTGTAGAATTCTGAAATGGTAATTTACAGAAATTCAAGAAAAATGAAAATCAATATGAGAAAGTAACCAATACTTTTTACTATTAAAATGGATGCTTTTCATAGATGAGCTAATTCATCCACATACACAACACAACACACAAATCCCTCCCTATCGAATAACTAGTTCATCCTGCAGAGGAGGCTCACAGGCACAAACAGACTAAATAGTCTCTGTAAGTCTCAGTAGCTAGTTCTTTTCCATAGCATTATGGGTTACGCTTTAAATTGCTGAGAAACAAAGAACTCACTTTGAACATTAAGTTGTGCCTCATCAAAACCATATTTTCCATTGCCTCATATGCATGTGAAAGCTGAACTTGGAATGACTAAGGAAAACCAAAGACTCAATGCATTTGTATTATATTATTTGCAAAAGAAGATGAGCTGTACCATAGACTGCGAGAAGAAAGAACAAATCTGTCTTGAAAGCAATAGAATGCTCCTTGAAAGCAAAGATAGTGAAAATTCATCTTATGTATTTTAGACATGTTATCAGAACAGATCAGTCCTTGGAGAAGGACATCATGCTTGGTAAAGTACAGGGTCAGTTAAAAAGAGGAAGACCCTCAACAAGGTGGATTAACACAGTGAGCTGCAACTCATACAACCATGAGTTCAAACATGGCAACAATTGTGTGGATGGCACATGACCCAGCAGTGTTTTCTTCTGTTGTACGTAGTGTCACTAGGAATCCCAGCTGACTGGTCAACACCTTGCAACAACTTGGGTCAGAAAGTACTTTAGTGTAAGTGTGAAGCACTTGATCACAAGGTCGGTTTGAACCTCTAAGTTGGTAGTTCAAACCCACCTGTTTCTTCTTGGAAACCCCATACAGGTTTGCTATGAGTTGGAGCCAATTCGAAGGCGCTTAACAACAACAACTGTTAGAGAGCTGTCTCTGTAGATTTAAATTTCTTTGCTCTAAATTTTTTCAGGATTAAAGATGTAAATGTTTATAAATGGTGTGTGTGTATATTTAGAACAAGAATTAAATAAAAAATTTGGAGATTACAACTCTAACAACTGTAAAGAAAAGCATTTATGCTTGGTGATTGAACTGCTTATCTTTTGGATTATTCAGATAGGCTTTTCTTCACATTTATCACATAAACATAATAGTTTATTCTTTAAATGGTTCACTTTTTATGTCTCTGTTATTGCATTTCAGCAACATCTTTTAAAATAGCACTTTAAAATCCACAGATATTTTTCAAACAACTTACATAAATCTGCTATTCAGAATTTTTACTATATTTTGCTCACCAAATAGAAAATGTACAAGTTATGAAATGTATATACATATCCAATTTTGGATTAATGTGATAAACATATTTAACACCATAGTCTGTGATTTGTCTAGCAGCTAGTTGGAAAAACAGAAATAATTTTGTCAGAATTCCTCATTGTATAGAGGGCACTGAGATTCTGCAATGTTATGATACATGACAAACCTTAGTACATAAGGCATTTGCCTTAGCATCATTTACATTAATCTATTGACATGCAGACATCAGAGACCTGCTGAATGACAGCCTTGAGAATAAGGGTCCAGCTAGGTGATACAAACAGTTAATGTTTGGGGCTTCTGATGGTAAATGTGATGGTTCATGCCCACCCAGAGATGCCTTAGAAGAAAGACCTATGGAAACGTAAGCAATGGAATTATATGGAGCACAGTTATACTCTGACACACAGGGGTCACTATGAGTTACAGTCAACAGGCTTAACCTGTATTGAAAATAAGTTTCCTACCCACATTTCTGAGAGTTACTGGGTTAGTGCATTTCTATCCACATCTGCAAAATACTTGTAGGCATTCAAATCAGCATCCCTATGATATAGCACAGTACTAAATAGGAGTGTGAAAACTGCATTTCCATGGCTTTGAAACACTGTTGGGAGCAATCAGATGGATCACTAGAGAATAATAATTGAATTGCCTTCTTGCACAGACCTGAATACTTAGAAAACTCTTGGTCTTTGACATCAGTCTCTAGATTCAAACATGTGAAACATAACAATTTTAAATGTGTTTAAATGTCTGCCATTGTCTCAAGAAATTAGTTTTTCTACTTCATTACCTTTTCCAGATAAGTGAATTTTAATGATTTAACCTTTCTGGCAGGAACATAGGCAGTGTTATGAATATTAGTGGAACTTGAGGGGGAAATGAATTAACACAAAGATACAATATACTGCATTAATGTCTACTGTAATGCAATATGCAATAGCAAAACCAAATCTTGTCACTTGCTTTCCTTGGAGTAGCACACAGGGCAGGATTTTGGCAGGTAGCTGGGTATCTTGCTTGTGAAACAATTTATGGCTCTCCATTGAGTATTGTTGTTGCTAAGTACTGTCGAGTAGGTTCTGACCCATAGCCACCCTAAGTAGAGTTTCTGACGAGTGACTGGTGAACTTGAACCAGTAACTTGTCATCATTCAAGTGGATAAAACCTTGTGGATAAAACCGACTTTGCAGTCCAGCTCATTAACCCACAGCACGTTATAAGTTTTAGTGAGTGCTTTTTATAAATGTTAGAGAATGTCAAACAAGCATTGCTTTCTCTGAAGAGCATACTATCTATTATGATAGAAAAGACATGTAATTTTTATCTTTAAAAAAGAGAAATTCTGCTGAATGGAACATGTGGATCATGAGGTCTGTAGTCAGGAAAGGTTTTCAAGGACGAAGTTTAATCTTTGAATAAAGGCTGGGCTCACTGAGAGAAAGAGACAAACATAATCCTAGAAAAACTGGAGTGTATATGTGGTGAAGATTCCCTGGGCCGTCCAAATCATTAATGCCCTCCATTGTTAACTGGTCCACCCAGGGGTGCGCTGCAAGAAAGAGCAGGAAAAGCAGCTCTTGAGACCCTGTGGAGCACAGTTCTTCTGTGACACACTTAGGGTCACCATGAGTTATAGTCAGCTGGAGGGCAACTGGTATATGATTAGATGTGGGAAAAATCATTGCAGCATTTTAATAACAAATAATTGGACATAAAAATATCAGTCAGCAATGAAACTGATATATATATTTATATAATAACGTAAGACACTGAAACATCAAAATGGTTGAACTAATAAACATGGAACAGATTTGTACTAATAAATATGGAACAGATCATTTAAACAATGTGAAAAGAAAAAACAAAATAACTTGAAGAATAACAGAGATGGTATCATGCTATTCATGTATTCTAGAGACACACGTTTGTAAATGGATAAGCAAGATTGGAGGAGTGGCCACTTAGCTCTTTGTAGTGGTTGACACATAGGAGGTAGGAGTAAGTGAAATTCAAATTTCCTAATATATTTTTTTGTTGTTTATTGAAAAAAAATTAGGGACTTTTAACAAAATTTCGTGATTTACATGAAAATCTGTCATATTAATCTTTGGCCCTTTCATGGGTAATTTAGGTTTGTTTTCCTCATAAAATAAGTTTGTTTGTTTAAGAAATAGAATCAATAGTCTCAATTAGTGTTCACTTGATCACCCAGGGAATACAGTAGTTTAGACTTTCATTGTTTCACTTTGTAGGTAAATGTCACTCGGGAAGACTCACCAAGTGAAGACCCAGTTTTTCTTCGAACTTTGGGAAAAGGTGACTGGTTTGGCGAAAAAGCCCTGCAGGGGTAAGTTGACCACATGGGACTCAACTTTTGATCCTGTCTTAAATTTTGAGCTTTTAGCAAAATGGGTAAATTATTTTGTGTTTATTGCAATATTGGACATAGACCTTGATGATAATCTTTTTTTTTTTTTTTTAATTACAGTTAGACTTGAAATCAGTTTATATTGGTTGCAGAATGATTTCTATAATAAATCATTGTTGTCGTTATAGGAACATTTTCAGCTTTATGGTCCTTAACTGCAATCTCTATTAAAAACTCCAAAGGAGAGGGAAGTTTCTGTTACACTAATTTATACAGTTTTACTCAGAATTACAGGAAAGTGGTTGACTGAGAAATTTGAAATCCCTTAATCTGATTATGATAGAAAACAATGATCAGAAGACAATGAAGCCTTTCCAAGGTTCCCCTCTAGATGATCCTTGTCATTGCTGGCTATGACAGAGGAAGTGGAGATGTAGGTAATGCACTCTTGCAGATTCTCTGTGCATGAACTTGAAGGCTAGAGTAGTAGGTGGTGGTTATGTGTCATCGAGTTGGTTCCGACTCATAGCGACCCTGTACAGGGTTTCCGAGGTTGTAAATCTTTACGGGAGCAGAACGCCTCATCTTTCACCCACAGAACAGCCGGTAGTTTCAAACTGCTGACTTGTGGTTCGCGGCCCAATTCTTAACCACTATGCTACCAGAGCTTCTTAGAGTAGTAGAGGCAAGTATTAAAGTGACTACAAATATACTAGTTAACTAAGGTTTTGCACTGAGTCGGTACCAACTCAATGTCACATCACAACAGCAACAAGCCAAGACCTCAAGAAGTAAGCACTTGGGATCTCTTTCCATATGCTATGGAAGAAAATAATCTAGTTGATTTTGCATAAAACGTTTTATGCAATGCATGACAGTTATCAATTATTATTACATTTAAGCATTTTGACTAAAAGTACTATGAAAAAATAGTTTAGGGAGTTTTGTATAATTTATTATCAAGCCCCAATTAGATGGCAGGTTTAATTTTCATTCTTAATATTTAATAGCTACAGAAATGAAAGCGATACTGGTACATTTTTTTACTTAGGCCGTATTTGTTGTTTAGTGTGGTTGAATTAGTTCCAACCCACAGTGACCCTTTATGTATTCTGAGGAGTGGCTGGCGGATTCAAATTGCATACCTAGTGGTTAGGGGAGCTCTGGTAGTCTAGTGGTCAGAGGTGGGCTGCCAATCTCACAGTCAGCAGTTTGAAACTATCAGTTGTTCCGCAGGGTTAATATGAGGCTTTCTGTACCCATAAAGCTTTTACAGCCTTGGAAACCCTATACAGGGTCACTATGAGTTGAAACTGACTCCACGGCACACCACCACCACTACCACCACCACCTTGTGGTTAATAGTCCAATGCTTATCCTACAGCACTACACCATGAAAATTCAGAGCTAGATGTACTCAGCTTTCTTTTTTTTCTTTACCAAATTCTAGTGATCTGTATCTAATGAGCATGTACATACTTGGTATTTTTCAAATGGTAAAGTTAAAAGAAATATCATGTTTGATGTTGATCCACAAAATGATACAATGAAAACTCTCTTAGTATATAAACTGCATGAACATTTCCTTAGTGCTTTAATCTTTCTTTCCCTTGATTTTTTTTTTTTTTTAGCAATACAACATATAAATATTTATTCAGAACCAAACTTTTAACAATATAGCAAAACATATAACTCAAAAAAGGAGGAAAAACTTTAAGAGAAAACAGTGTAATACCTTTTTCTACTTTAAGTTGGAACATTTAGTTGACCTATACCTTCTTGCTTGGCCTATGTCGTAGGTACCTTTGTGTTAGGCTGACACCTCACTTATAATTCCAGGTTAAAATCATATTGCTCCTGAGTCTGGAGGTTACACATGAGCTCCAGCTTGTTGCACTCTGGGATTCTTGGCTGTTGAGGCTAAGGTGCAATGTAAACCTTTGGTAGGTTTCCTGATTCAGGAGCACCCATTTCTCACTGGTGGCACTGAATGGGGAGTGGCAGTTTTTAAGGATCAGGCGCATTTGATTCTAAATGTGGCAACCTGGGGGACTTTAGCATACCTTGGAGTATGGTCTTTGGCCCTTTCTCTATTGCCAGCATTTTCAGGAGTCCCTGCTACACCTTCTGTCTACTGGCTCCCCAAGACATTTCTCGGCATTCCTATGGGTTCATCATTCTGGAGAGATCATACATTCTGGGCCCTCAAGTGACCAGAAAAAAATGTTGTGAGATGTTGAGAGGTAGTGGAATGCCCACCCGGCTTGGAGGGTCAGGGATTTCTACTCTGGGCTCAGCTCTGGAACCAAACAGCAATGCTTGGTTTGACCCAGTCCCTTAACGTCTCTGGGCCTGTTCTATTTGCTGGAAACCCAAGGGGATGGTCTAAACTAACTCTGTTGTTTTTATTGTTGTTGTTATAGTGTTGTTGAGTCCATTCCGACCCATAGTGACCCTGTATACGGTTTCCGAGGAGCAGCTGGTGAGCTTGAACTGCCAACCTTGCATTTCAAATGGCTTTGCAGTCTACAGCGCCACACCAGGACTCCAGCAAGAAAATTCTAGATTCCATAATTCTATAAAAAATGGTTTTGGAACTATGGAAAGAGCTTTTATGAAAGTGCATGCATTTTGTGCCATGAAGAGAGGCCCTCTTCCCCTCCATTTTTAAAAGAATAGAAGATTCTAGGGAACAAGGACACCTAGCTTCATTGGTTCAAGATGAAATGTCCCTATAGGAATTAATGTTATTTCCAACATGACCCAAAGACCAGGAATATTAACTACTATCTCTGATAGAGGTCACAAGTAAAATACTAAAAAGTGAGGAATACACATAAGTAACTGAGAATGAATAGATTTTCTTGAGTAGTTTATTGTCACTGAATTTCAAAGTCAATTAAAAAGACACGTCTGTAGTGAGAGCAACTTTCTATGGTGTGTTCCAAGAAGTGACCATGGGATATGGTTTATGGAAAAGTTGCTAAATTTTAGTCTGCTATCAGAATAATTTAATGACCCTTCATCTACTTTAATTATTTCTAGCACATGGTTATTTGCTTGAGTGGTCTGGTGACAAGACTCTCTTTTTCACTTAACTGATCTTCCTCACTGGCCTTTTCTGTCTAACGCACATTCAGTTCTCCCATAACTTACAAAACAATTAATCCATCTCCATCTTCTGTACTCCCCTTACTACCATTTCCCTACACAGGACCTTGACTATTTTTATTTAATGCCTGGTATTCTCACTTTCTCAATACTCAATCTGACTTTATCTCTCTATACTAAATACTCCTTTAAAAGCAACTAAAGACTTGCTATGTACCCAGTAGAATATAATTTCTCCTCTAATTTTGACTTTACTTCTCCTCAGTTTACACTGTTGACCACTCCCTTCCTTCTTTAAACTCTCCATTCTTTGTTACCGTTGAAATTATTAGCCTTCTTTGTTGTTGTTGATAAGTGCCTGTGAGTCAGTTCCCAGTCATAGTGACCTTCGATAGGAATTCTGTGGAGTGGCTCGTTAGCTTGAACCAGCTGCTCCTCAGAAACCCTATACAGGGTCGCTATGAACTGGAACCGACTCAATGGCACTTTATTGCCACTGAAATTGTTAGCATTCTTTAGAATTCCTCATTACATTTCATAAAGCTCACCATTGTTTTCTTATCAACTATCCTTCCTACACACGCCTTATACACTTTTCCAGCTCTATGGATGCATGTTGCTTCCATGAAAAAATTCCCAAGTATATTTTAAAGGGAGCATCAGGCTGTTACCAGATACTCAACAGTTATTTGCTGAATGAATGAACGAATGGACAAATGAACTTCTCTGTTGTTGTGTGTCATTGAGTTGGTTCCAACTGACAGCAACCTTTTGTGGGGTTTCTTTTGGTATAAATCTCTACAGGAGCAGAAAGTCTCATCTTTCTCCTGAGTGACCTGGTGAATTAAAACCGCCTACTCTATAGTTAACAGCCCATCGCATAACCCAGTATGCCATTGGGGCCCCAGTGAACCTCTCTAATGAAACTTAATTTTGTAATTCCATCTGATTTCAATTACTTTAACTATTGTATTTTCTTTGGCCATGCAGCTGGGATTATAAGCTCAATTGATTATGGGGAAGGGATTGGCTGACTGATAAGTAAATGAGTAAAATATGGTGAGAACCATTGCAAACTGGCAAGCCTAGTGTAATTCTAACTGGAAAGCCTATGTATAATTCTACAGGTAATTATACCTAGTATAATTCTACTGGTAAGCCTATGCAACAGCAAAAACTAAGTTCGAGATCCATGCTAATCTGCAGAAATAATGGAATGATTTTTTTTTTTTTAAAGAAAAGCAGAAAAAAACCTGTTAGTCTTTTTAAGTACCCTCGTGACTGTTCCAACTCATAGCGATTCTCTGAGTGGGGCTGGTGGGTTTGAAGCTACCTTGTAGTTAGCAGTGAGCTTAGGGAGTTTTGTTTGTTTTGTTACCAAGTTAACTTATACACACTAGGACCCCAGGAAAAAAAAAAGTGAGATATGATTTTGAAACTTTTGGACTTGGGTAAATGGATTTGATTTTTCAAAAACTGAAGGCAACCAAAGAATTCTGCAAACTGATTTCACCTGTGGGATATCTGCCAATCAGGTATTGCCTCTTTAAAATGCTGTAGTTCATTTCCAATGAAGCAAAGCTATTAGATTAACCTGTCTCTATGAACTCTTTGAAAAACTCTATACAGGGTTGCTATGCATCAAAACTGACTCGACCGCGCTGAACAGCAACAGTAATTATTTTCTTGGTTTGATTTTTGGTATTCTGTATCTGTAAGTTGTTTTCATACTGTGTCTGTGTGCTCTTTTTTGAGCTCTGATTTTCAGTGTTTCTCATAGAAATCCAACTTTTTATAAAACATTGATTTCATTTATTCCTAAGTAACTTAATATAAGAATCTAAAGTCTGCTAAAGAGCTCTGGTAGT